ATTGTTCCCGAGAGGGCATTCACCTCTGGTAACACCCGTTCAACACGTCACCCCCAGCTCCTGTATCATTTCCACACAACGAGCGGATCTTATAAACGATCACGGATCAAATAATGGCCAGGACGAAGCAGATACCCATCTGCAAGTGGCTATAGGTTGGGCAAGCATTATCTTCCTCCCGTGTCAAGTGAAAATTAATCCCCTGGTAGTCTGTATATGTTATTCAGTACCTTGGGATTAATTTCTTGGGCTACTTTTGCATTTAAACCTTCAGTGGTGGTTCCAACAAAGAAGTTTGTTAGATAATCCGTTTATCGCCCTGTTTTTTTTTGTTTTTTTTCCAGAACTTTTTTTAAAGACGGGTTAGAAGCTAGAACAAGACTGCCGAAATTTTTAGGGAATAGTGCAAAATTTGTACGAAAGTACCAACTTCGGCTGCCCTGCGTTACAATCAATCAGAAGGTTGGCCTTTCCTTTATATGCGACACGGGGTTGGAATCTTCGGGAAGGGGATTTAACTTAGTCGGCCCTCGGCAGAGATAACATCCTTTTCTGCATAGCTTGTTGCACTGCACCTGGTAATCTGGTAATTTTAATTTCAGCTTCATAGCAAACGGGTCACCCCATCTTTGCTCTGCTCCTGTACCAACGAAAAACACACAGAATGTTTATTACAGCCCCTTGTGGAAAGACTGACAAACTGCTCTCTCAGCAAATCTAGCATACACTCGCATTAAAAGCAAATGGTAGCCATCCGAAGTGCTAACACAAACAGTCCGACGTTAGAAATGCAGTTCATCATTGATGGTAGCAGAAGTCATTAAAAGATCAGCAGTTGCACGCGCGATCAATTTTAATCAAATAATGGCGCCACCAATATTGCGACAACCGGCATTGCGTCATTTTCTGAATCTGCAAATCACACCACCACGTTGGTCAGTGAAAAACATTCCAAATGAAATCCGCAGCTCACAGTGTCACGCCGTGCACTCAACTCAGAGGCTGGGCAACGAAACTATATACTTCCAGTCTACAAATGGAGCAAAAAAGCAACGGCCACAGTCTGGCAGAAGCAAAATTTTTTGCCTCAGCTCAAAACAGTGGCAGTGCCTAGTGTTCATTTGCACCTGACGTATTTTGTGAGGGTAAATAAACTGTCACCTCAGCAGTACCATACTATTAGCTGGGGAAGGGATTTGGGACATTACATCCACCAGCAAGCCTCGCCCCAACAACGACCTGACTGCCTTATGTTAACGACTGTTCACCCAACAGCCATGCAGTTCTTTGGCACGAAGGAGACACCTTGAACTTGGGTTTCGGACTGCCGATTCCCTACACGAAGATATATGTGTGCTACTGGTGTCCCGTAGCCAAAATACTATTTCACTGTATTACTAAAATTCAGCACGCATTCTCAAACGCGCAGTAGTTAAAGAAAACACACACACACACACACATATGCATACACTCATTACCTGCCACCCGCTTGCTTGCTGGTGCAGCACACATGACTACATATATATATACATATATTCGGGAGAGGGAGAGAGTGAGACAAGGGAAAAAACATGCCGAATGACCACACATATGTAAGCCACTGACACAGGGAATTCCCTATGCACACAAGGTTGGCATGACTGGCTCCAAGAAGGGGACAGTAAATTCAAATGGCTCAGTCAGATCAGACACAGTCCCTGCTGTGACAGAAAGTTGGCTGAAATAAAGGACTGCCGTAGAAAGGTGCACCCGAGGGACGGTTTCAGAAAAAGATGCATACTTTGTGGTAGGGTAACATTGCTTGAACAATGTATTCTGCAAACCACCAGGTGTTGCATTAACATTTTCTAGGTTCTAACAATAGTAATACACTAGCGATGACTAATAATAATCATTAACAGCTCAGCCAATACTTACATAAATTGGCGTAGACAGAAAGAGAGAGATGGAGAGAGAGAGAGGGATCACCGTGTAACTAATTACAGCAAAAGTATAGCGTTCATAGAGTCTTCTGTTCCGATATCCAAACGTGCTTGTTGTCAGCCATACAGATTTTGCGTGCAACAATCAAGGCCTGAGAACAGCAAATCAAGTGCTGTGTCTCTATGTTCATTTCTAGGTGGCCACGTGGTCACAGATGGAACTGTTGTAGCAGGGTAGAGCCGTGTGAACTTGAATCCTGCAGGTAAATTAGGTGCTTAGAGAATGTGGTGTTCTCAAGTGTATCTGGTGTAGCCTGATGAGATGTCATCGCGAAGAAAGGTGAAATATTTAAAAGAAGAGAATTCCGAGTGTCTGTAATTATTTCTTTCTCCATTCGTGAACCCGCCTGCACTGCACCTGCCACCGGGTTGGAATCCTCGGAAAGATGGTCCAAGTTAGCCTGTCATGGGCAAACAGGGGGGGGGGGGAGGTAACATCCTTCCCTGCATTGCTTGTTGCCCCTGCACCAGCCACTGGGCCTAAACTCGCAAGAGGTCGACTAGGCACTAAGTAAGTAGGTTAACTAAAATACAATAAAAAATACACTTTCTGACAATGTGACCAATACCGTAATGTGCGGAAGCGGTATTAGAATCTCTGCGTGGTGGTGCTTGCAGTGGTGTAACAAATAGCTGTGTTTCCTTCACAACTTCCTCTTTACCTCAAGCTCAATCCTGACACAAATATAATTTATTTTCTTCTTCTACTTCTTTTTTGACTGGCTGTGAGCTCCGGCGGAAAGTCCTGGTTGTTGTTCCTCCATTTGGGCTTTTGCGTTGTCCCAGGACCTGAGTTTTGCGTGTAACTCCTTTTACTGACTGAATTGTGTCTGCTCGGGCAGATGTACTCCCTCGAGGAGATTACTCCGACTTCAAAGGAAGCTTCCAATTAGTCGACTCTTACGACATGCTTATTGGAGTGGCAGTAGGTCTATTATTATTTTCTAGACAATGAGGCTCCGGAACCCAGACTGTAAAAAAATTGTTTATTATGTACTTAAATGCCCCATCACATTAAATAGGTTTTATACAAGAAAGTCCTGGCTTTTCAAAAGCTTTCACGAACGTCTCTTGATATGACAAAGATTTTATGCAGACATTTTTTTTTTTTTTTTTGAAACTTACAATGTCTTATTGAAGCATGTCTCAACATTTAAAAGGTTTATGGGTCCAATTGTTATAAAAACAAGAAAAGACCCAATGCCTCCTTAAATAAGCATGTCGTAAGAGTAGACTAATTGGGGGATTCCTTCAAAGTCGGAGTGCATCTGCCTCAGAAGCAAGGAACCAACGGTCTGCATACTAATAAGCAAGATTCTAAAACAAATGCACACGCAAAACTCAGGTCCTGGTAAAAAAGTAGAATTTCAGAAATGGACAAACAACCAGGTTTTTACGTAGGCGTTTAAAGCAGATGAACGCAAACAACTACAGCATTTAAAAGGTCTGAGATACAAAGAGGTCAGTAATGTGCACTGCAAGACTCATAAAGTGTTTCTTGCTCAAGCCTACCTTACTATGAACTGTGAATGTTAGAGCGAATGCTTATTGTCTGTGCTCTCAGAGAAATGTTTGTAAACTGCATATTCAGAAAATGGTGAGTGGCTTGTTGCCATAGAATCTGGTGTGTGCTTTATGCAGTAATGGGTGTGCCCCTCCCTACTGGTTTGTCTTTACTGCTGCTTTTATCAACTATGAATGACAATTCTAGAGACAGACTGTATGAATTGGCGAATGAGGCAGCTGCCGTATGCATTTAATGCGTGTGCGAGCTGTTGGATTTTTGCAAAGACTGTTATCTGTTTCACTTGTCACATTTCGTCTGGTTTTAAGTGTCACAGGAAATGAGAAATGATGGGATGACATGTTTTCTGTGAAGTTGGAATCCTGATTAATAGCATGATTTAAAAGGTCTTATACATGCATGTCTTTGAAGTTCAAAAGGTCTCATACAAAAACTTCTCTTGACATTTAAAAAAAGCTCACACCTGAATGTAAAAAAAAAAACCATATCAAAGAATGTCTACTGAGATATTTAAAAAGTTAGTTACAAGTTTTTTTACAAGTCGTTGCAGAACCAACCACAGCATTGTGTGGCTTTTGTGGTTTCTCTAGCCAAATTTGCCTTCAGTAGTTTGCCAATTCCACTAAACAGTCAGCTCTCGATCCCACTGTAGAAACCAACGCAAAGCGATCTGCTGCCAAACTGTCTACCCTGGAATTAGAAAGCGCGTTCGAAACACCTAAGCCACAAGCACTGACTATTGACATTGAAACCTTGCATTCAGGAATGTCTAACGACTCTTGCAAATCGTCATCTGTGAATGTCTTTTGGCGTTGAAGTTGTCACCTCAGAGTGCATCTCAGCATCTTAAATCCCCATCTAATAATTGAATGTCTGTTGACACTTTAAAAAGTCATTTTGGAATGTCACTGATAAGTAGGAATCCACATCCCAGAATACCTTGTGACTGGCAGAAGTTTAAAATTAGTTAACCTCTTCACAAATGCTCCACTTTCTGGTGACAGTCACAAACTCTGGCACAAAAACCTCAGCTGATACTGTGACCTTCTTGAAAGAGACAGGACACTGGCGATGTTGCCAGCCGCCATTCACAAAAATCTGTTAACAGTTCCACACGCGTTGACACCCTATACCATTGTTATTCAACTAAGTTCACTCCGGCGCAAACAGTGCTGAAAATTGGGATCATCGCGGGCCAGAAGCCGGAGCCCCATCATAGAAGGAGCATTATTACAATCACCTGGCAATGATCTGCAAACCACTTGCTAGGCCTTCGCGGACCTAATTTGGCATGCGGACCGCCAGCTGAATAACCCTGACAAACATTGTGCACAGTCCGTCAATCAAGTGCCATTTCCACAATGAAGGTTAACCGCAATGGATCTTCAACATGATCTGTATCTAGTCCAGGTTGTACACCTTTGAAGACTGCTGTACGTCCATTTAATAATGTTATCCTCCCACTTGTATCGCTATCTACCTTTTGACATTGTTTACACAGATCGCCTGTTGACATTGTGATAGGAAATTCGAGGCAGCTTTTTCTTGTACATAGGACTGTCGTCCAAACTCTTTCTTCTGAAGACGCTACCCAGTTTTCTGGAGACGTTCTCAAAAAGGGACTTCCTGCGTTTGGTCATGCGGCCATTGTGGCACACTGAGCTGAAGGCGTCCATCACCAGGTCCAGGAAACTGTTGACTATCATCAGGTGGGACTCGGCAGCGGAAACTTCTGAATGGAGACAGCCGTAAGTTTCTCGAAGTTTCTCGACATCTTCGGAATACACCTGAAAAATAAAACCAATGACGTAAATGGAAGTCACTTGTATTTCTTGTTAGTCTGGGGATTAGGCTACGGTTAGAGAGTTGGTACTATAGTGGTGGTGGGGGTGGTGGTAGTGGTGGTGGTAGTTTTCACTGTCCCACTCCAGGATTTCCATCGGTAGGATTACCGCCTCAAGGATAAGAATCAAACAAGAGTAAATCCTAGAAACCCCTTTCGGCTGCACAACACTGTTTATATCAGAGCCCCTGTAGGGGTATACAATAACCTGTAGCTTTATTTCACATCCTTGTCTCTCCTGCTGTAATCACTTTGAGCTTCCTTGAACTTTATTCAGAGCAGGCCTTATGAATTGTAATTGCAATAAGTCCCCCACACCCCCCCCCCCTTTCCCTACCCTTTACCTTTATATAAATTATCATTTTGCTTTTGTTTTTTAAATTATTTCAAATATGTGTGTGCTTTTCTGCACACTATTATTATTATTGCTGTTAGGCTCTTAATTAGGGCTCATGCCCTTTTAGTCTTATCTTTCTCACTCTCCTAGTTTCACACCCCCCCCCCCCTCCCACCCTCTCCCTTCACGATCCACTCATCTCCCTAAAAGAAAATATTCAAAGGAGCTAACTGGACAGTCAGACAGATTGGTTAGTTCTGCGCCCATGACTCGTTAATGCATACATGACAAGCTAGATGTAGTTAAAGTCCTTTTGGGAAAAACTGAACAATGTGGAGGCACGAATCGATCATCTTCTTCTTCTTCTTCTTCGCGTTCACCAGCTGTACACTCTGGCGGAAAGTTCTGGTTGCTCGTCCACTACTGAACTGCAGTCCTGCTCCAGAACCTGAGTGTTGCGTGTGCATCAGTTTTACAGATCTCATTCTCTTGAATACAGACTACTGGTTCCTTGCCTCTCCGGCAGATGCACTCCGACTTCAAAGAAAGCTCCCCAATTAGTCGACTCTTACGACATGCTTTTAGGGAGGCAGTGGGTCTATTCTTGTTTTCCCCATTATGGCGCCCCGGAACCCACACAGGGGAATCGATCATGGAGGTCTGGCTTCATCAAAACTCTTTGCCGGCTGTTGAAGATGAGGACGGAGCGCTTATGGGAATGTCCCGAGCGCTGTGATAGCAGTTCTTAGCTCAATATTCGACACAATACTTTTTCTTCTGAAAGTTTATGCCATGTAACGCTGGTAGTTATGTCTATCCACAACCTTTAACACTTTTAGTCAACTCTGATACAGATGATCCTCCACGCTATGATTTTTTTTTTTTTAAACGTATCCAGAAACCATGAGTTGTAAACCCTTTGGCTCGGTACTATGGGTATCGCAACCCTTCGGCATTGATTCCATTATAGGTACCGTTAATCTGGGAGAAATGTGGCTTTTCTGCCTACCCCCGGGAGTGAACCCGGACCACAAGGAGTTCGTCACCCGGCCGCAGCGAAAGTCAGGTTTAACCAACTTCGCTAGAGAGCCGGGCCCATGCTATGATATCAGTGAGCAGTCTGTTCTCTTCGTGAGTCAATTTCATTCAAGACCTCCTTATTACTCTTTTTTTCTGTCCATGGTATTCTCATCAACCACACCAAAAATTACATCTTATCATTTCTTGCAGTTTTGCACAATTAAAGAAGACTTAAACATCATCTTTATTACCATCCCCACACTGCCCCCCCCCACCCCCGGGTACATATTTTCTTTGCGGCAGCGCTCCTGCTATATACCACAATCCCTGTCAACATTAGAGAACACACAACAATTAAAATACTTGACAGAGAACACGAATAAACACTGACCCACCTTTCTAGCATGGTCCAGGTCTAGTTTGTTTCCTAGCAGTAAGACAGGTGTGTAGGAGTTTGCCCTGGATCTGATCGTCTCCACCTCTCTGCGAGCCACCTTCAGACTGATCTCATCCGTGATGCTGTAGACCACCACAAAGCCGTCGGCGTCATAGACGTCATGGCAGATGGCCTGACACTCGCCCTGTGGAGCCAAGCACAGATGATATCAATTAAACTTCAAGCCGTGCTCAAAATGAAAGTTTGCTACAATTAGGGTGAGAAATGACATGTTTTCACAGGGATAATCCAGTTTTCTAGATATGGCTCCCCCCTCCCCTACTCTGTATAAATAAACTCGAGGATGGAACATACACTTGTAGTTATTATACATGTAAACCTTATGAGATTTCATAGGTTTTGATACTAATAATCCCTCAAAATGAGCTGATTACCTTATTCACCAGAGCGTGATGTTTTCATTGCTGCCAAACTGTGGGTTTTAATAGTTATCAAGTAGTCAACCCATTCACCGGAGTGACCTAAAAAGTAGAAAAGAGCGAGGGTGCAGGAGGGGGAGGCGGGTGGGTTGGGGGGTGTTAAATGACTTGCTTGGGATGTCCAGTTTTCATCTCACGATATTATGGTCACCGTAGCTACATTTTACTCCCTCATGTCTTTGGGGATAGAGGTTCCAATCTTTTTTCCTTAAGGAGACTCTGGTACCAATGTCCAAAAACTACCAGAACGGTTTTAAAGAAAGTACGCCACATAAATCGAGCTCTTATACTCAAGGATTACGAAACTGTTAAATGCATTCACTAACTTTCCAGCCACAGAGCCGCACAAGCTCAGATCAGTGACAATTAATGTAAACACCTCTCTTGGTTTTGGGGACCAAAGGAACAAGTGGGACAAAGCTTAAAAAAAAACAACTGCTGACAGAAAAGTCTGGCAACCTTTCTAGGAAACCTAAACACCACCTGATAGAAGAGGATCGACTAAGTCAATGTGTTATTTAATATTTATTATTATTAGCTGTACTCGGCCATGCGTTGCTGTGGCTCAGTTTAGGTAAATGGAAAAGAAAAAAGATAGAAACCTCACGTGCCTAACATGAATAATTTTACACACACACGCACACACACACACACACACACACACACACATATATATAGATATATATATATATATATATATATATATATATATATATATATATATATATATATATATATATATATATATATATATATATATATAGTCTGGTTTGCCGACTGTAAAACACGCAAATAAATCGTCTTTATATTTGTGGTCGTTTGTATTGTATTATAAGGAATTTTTTTTAATGGTTATTCGTTTATCAACAGCTGAAAGTAAAACTTACTACTATATTTCTAAATCACCAACAAATTCGCAACAATAAAAAATGAGAATAGTTGAGGTAGCGGTGTTTAAAGATAAAACAATTTTTAAAAATTAAAATTTTAAAATCATGTTTAAGCTCCCTGTTAACAGTTTCTGTCATCACACCCCCCTCCCCCTTTTTCTTTTTATTCCACAGACTACTCCTCTCTCCCTCTCCAAAGGATTTGAAATACATTACCTGACGATATATATTTTTAATTGACCTTGGCATCCGTGTCCACGCAGACTAAACTGGGTAGTAGAAATTGTAATGAGAAGTAAACGCGGCCAGTGAAATATTCACCATAATCACACATCGAGTACCAGTACTTCTACTACTACTATCACCAGCACCTAACAACTAACAAAACAGTCATTGCTGCCTCTATCAATACCTCTTTTTAAGTATTAGGCAGACAGGGGGTCGTGAGCCTAAGGATTTAGGACTGCGTGGGTAGTTCTGTCGCCACGGACTGTTCGGGTTAGGATTTTTAAATTTGCCCCTGACAACAACAACTCCATCACCTTACCGAGAGTTGAACCCGGGTCTCTAGCATGATAGCCCAAAGTTGTAACTACTCGGATAACCACAGAAACAACTACTAATATTCTGCTACTACTACCGCTGCTGTTACTATGAGCAGATCTTGTAAGAAAAGCGGTTATTGTAACTTTCCCGACATGAGCAGTAGTAATTTCAATAATATCAATTAAGATGCACATTGTGAAGAAGATCGTGTCGAGGATGATGGATATGGGAGTGCAGCCTGGAGCAGCCAACAATCATATTTCACTAAGGATAAGAGTCGTCTGATTAATCAAAGGAAACAGGTGTCTTTGGTGGTTTTGTCCTTTTAGAGCTATCGAGGAAGAGATCTGAGAACCTAAAGATCTTTCAGGAATGATGTGATGATAGTCCTCAGTAATCTTTTTCACTCCCATATCTTTTCATTACCATACAAACTTTTATAAACTCTATTGTTTTTCCCAAAACTTTTAATTCTAATTTGTTTTTACGCCCACATCTTTACATTTCTATACATTCTTTCAACATCTTCTCGTCCCCATAACGAAATAATGTATTATCTCATACAGCTTCATGAAGAGTTCTGGGGTCAACAGTGAAAGTTTGCCTACCAGCGAGTGAAGGCGTGGGGGGACGAGAAAGCGGTTACGAAAAATCCGGATCGTAGGAAAACAAAACCAAGATGCCGGTGTCATCGTCCCTGGAACTATGTAGTTCGTGCTTTGTAAGACACTCTTATATAATACACGCGCGTATTCAAACGCAAAGTTGCGTCAAAATGTCAAACAATCGGTGAAGAACTTTCGGCATACAGCTTCACACAGATTTCTGGGATCAACAGTCAAAGTTTGCCTTGTAGCGAAAATAAAAATTCGCGCCGAAAACACAGCAATGAAAAAAAATAAATCGGATCGTCGGAAAAGAAACAAGATGCAGATGTGATCGTGGTTGGAGCTATGTAGAACGTTCTCTGTGCGAAACTCCTATTTTAAAAAAATCATATATTCTAATGCAAAGTTGTGTGAAAATTTCAAAGCAATCAGAGAAGACTTTCGGAAATTATCGGTTAGCCACAAACGAACTTTTAGATTTGTAATAATATAAATTATTTTTATAATTATAATAATAATTATTATTATTATTTTTATTATTATTATTATTATTATTGCGCAGTTACAAATAAAGTCGTATTGTTAAAGAGACTGTGGTCTTTTTTCTTTCTTCTTCATTTGACGTCTCACTGACACCAGGGTGTAGCCCAGTGCCGTGGTTTTCTGTATTTGTCAAGCGTTTCTCCTACAAACCAGTCAGTTTTATTTTTCTACCCTGCCAGGCGACGGGCCTAGCAAGCCGGCAGTGGTGTAACTGCTACAAAACAAGAAATATTGACTGCAGCCTCGCCAGGTAATATGTCCAAAGACTGAAGTGGATGCAAACTGCATCCAACCTTCATTGTTGAGTAGGCACGCCATTTTGTTTCAGCCGTCAATGGTCAAGTTACCCACATGCTTGGACCCACGCCCCCTTGGACAGGTCAACACCCTGATGACAACATCCTGACCTGTCTGACACGGGGTCACGTATATTTTGAACTCTGCTTGACTTGTACGGGAAATTAGCAGCTATATTTTCTTCAGAAATAATGGACCTGTCGTGCTGCTCTCCATGACACAGCAGCAGAGGTCATTAGTGATTTGTGTTAGTGCAGTGGTTCTCAACCTGTGGGTTGCGACCCCTTTGGAGGCGAACGAACCTTTCACAGGGGTCGCCTCAGACCATCTGAAAACACATATTCACTGAAGTTATGAAGTAGCGACCAAAATAATTTTATGGTTGGGGGTCGCCACAACATGAGGAACTTATTACAGGGTCACGGCATTAGGAAGGTTTGAGGAATCACTGT